CCTTATGAATGTAATCAGTGTAGAAAGGCTTTCACACGGAGGTCCAGCCTTGTTAAACATCAGAGACTCCACACTGGAGAGAAACTTTATGAATGTGATGAGTGTGGAAAGGCTTTCATGTGTAAAAGTGACCTTAGTCTGCATCAGAGAATCCACACTGGAGAGAAACCTTATGAATGTCATCAGTGTGGAAAGGCTTTCAGGTGTAAAAGCCATCTTACTCCACATCAGAGAATCCACACTGGAGAGAAACCTTATAAATGTCATCAGTGTGAAAAGACTTTCACACACAGCTCCACCCTTATTAAACATCAGAGAACTCACACTGGAGAGAAACCTTATGAATGTAATCAGTGCGGAGAGGCTTTCACAGGGAGGTCCAGACTTATTAAACATCAAAGACTCCATACTGGAGAGAAACCTTATGAATGTAATCAGTGTCATAAGGCTTTCAGGTATAAAAGCTATCTTAGTCTACATCAGAGAATCCACACTGGAGAGAAACCTTACAAATGTAATCAGTGTGGAAAGGCTTTCACAAAGAGCTTCAAACTTACTCAACATCGAAGACTCCACACTGGAGAGAAACCTTTTGAATGTAATCAGTGTGGAAAGGCTTTCACACTGAGTTCCAGCCTTATTAAACATCAAAGACTCCATACTGGAGACAAACTTTATGAATGTAATCAGTGTGGAAAGGCTTTGATGTGTAAAAGTGACCTTAGTCTACATCAGAGAATCCACACTGGAGAGAAACCTTATGAATGTAATCAGTGTGGAAAGGCTTTAAGGTGTAAAAGTGACCTTAGTGTACATCAGAGAATCCACACTGGAGAGAAACCTTATAAATGTAATCAGTGTGAAAGGCTTTCACACAGAGCTCCAACCTTATTAACCATCAGAGAATTCACACTGGAGAGAAACCTTATGAATGTAATCAGTGTGGAAAGGCTTTCACTCAGAAGTCCAGCCTTATTAAACATCAAAGACTCCACACTGGAGAGAAACCTTATGAATGTAATCAGTGTGGAAAGTCTTTCATGTGTAAAAGTGACCTTAGTCTACATCAGAGAATTCACACGGGAGAGAAACCGTATGAATGTAGTCAGTGTGGAAAGGCTTTCACACAGAGGTCCAGCCTTATTAATCATCAAAGACTCCATACTGGAGAGAAACCTTATGAATGTAATCAGTGTGGTAAGGCTTTCAGGTGTAAAAGCCATCTTAGTCAACATCAGAGAATCCATACTGCAGAGAAGCCTTATGAATGTAATCAGTGTGGAAAGGCTTTCCCATGGAGTTCCAGCCTTATTAAACATCAGAGAGTCCACACTGGAGAGAAATCTTATGAATGTAATTAGTGTAGAAAAGCTTGAAGATGTAAAAGTGATCTTAGCCTACATCAGAGGATGCACGCTGGAGAGAAACCATATGAATGTGATCAATGTAGAAAACTTTTATGAGTGAACTGGAGACTTGCTCTACATGAGATAATCTACAGTGTAATTAATGTGATAAGGCTTTACCACTGAGCTCAAATCTTGTTCAACATCAGGGAATCCACACTGGAGAAATCTTATGAGTGTTTACAATTTGAGAAAACTTTCTGTACATCATCTCCTTTCCAAACAAATCTGATGAATGAAAAGTCCATTTCTAGGTAATCATTTCCTTTATTCTGGGTAGTGAACATTTGATAAAAGAATGGTCATTTACCTATCTCTGGTAAACCAAAGATGAATTTTGGATGCTTCTCAACACTTACATGCCCTTAGATAAATGGATGTTACTAACAGGTACAAAGTATGCCTGATTGGTTAAAAATTATTGAGAATGAATATTATAAGGAGAGGTGGACTTACTGTAATGAGAAGCTGAGGGACTAGACTCATCACTCAGTTTTAGACAAATAGCCTTATATCTTCCTAGACCACCCATGCCTCTGGAAATCTAGACAAAAGTGGGAATCTACTTCCCCTCAGACCTTTCTGACTAAAACATAATGGACCAGCATTTACCCCAAGACTAAAATCTCTCTATCTTTTGCTTACTTATAAACTTTCTCAGTTGGGTAACTCTCCCCCAAGATTTCATCTCCTCATCAGCTCTGCGCTTTAAAGACTGGCTGAATCACCTACAGGGGCTGATTTCTGAATGAAAATAGAAACTGGGGGTTGCAGAGCTGAGGACTAAATCAATAAGTGGTTATTAATATGAGAAAAATTATAATTGCTATCACATCAGAGAATCCATTCTAGAGGATATAACTTATTAATATAATCAATACAAAGAAGCATTCAGGCTAAGGTCATATCTTATTTGCCATCAGAGAATTCCTATGAGATTGAAATCACATTCCTATAGTGAATGTGGAAAGACATTGAGATGGTCTATAGAGTTTTTTAGACTCCAGAAAATTCATCTTAGCAACAAGCCTTAGAAAGACTCGATGTGGGAATGCCTTCAGCAGAGATCTCCTGTTCCTTTACATGAGGGATTCATGGTGGAGAAAAGACTTATGAAAGTACTCAGTGAGGACCTGCCTTTCCCTGGAAGATGCAGATCACTTAACATCACAATATTCACACTGGAAGGAATCCTTATAAAAGCAATGATTGTGGGAAGGCCTTCAACTGGAGCTCATACATGTGCATATATTGGAGAAATGTACCTGGAAATAAATCTGATGGATTTGATTAATGATAGAAGATGTTTGCCTGCAGCACAGATCTCTTATCTCTCCTTGCTGTTCTCTGGAATTCTGCATTCATTTGGGTATATCTTTTCCCTTTTCCTTTCCTTCTTTCCTTAGCTATTTGTAAGGCCTCATCAGACAGCCATTTTGTTTTCGTGCTCTTCTTTTTCTTTGGATTATTTTTCTTGCTGCCTTCTGTACAATATTACAAACCTCTGTCCACAGTTCTTCAGGCACTCTATCAGATCTAATCTGTAAATCTATTCATCATTTCCATTTCATATCCATAAGCAATGTTGTTTAGGGCATAGCTGTAGGGTCTGATGGCTTTCCCTATTTTCTTTGATTTGAGTCTGAATTTTGGCAATTAGAACCTCACATTCTGGGCCTCAGTCAGCTCCACATCATGTTTTGACTGACTGTATAGAACTTCACCTCATCTTCCTTTTTTCCCTAGAATATGTTTTAGCTTTTTATAGAACTGAGCAGCTTTGGCTTCTTTGGAATTAGTCATTGGGAGATAGACTTGTTAGTGTGATATTGCATGGTTTGCCTTAGATTTCAACCGTACTTGTTATATGTTGGAAAAGTCTTGCTGAAGACAAACTTTATGGATCTAATCAACAAGGTTAGGTCTCTTGTTCAAGACCTTCTTAGATTTCCCAGTAGGAGACCTCATTAAATATCCAAAATTACTTATTGTGAATAAACCCCTAGAAATGTCATGGCTTTCCCCCCTCAAATGCTCATGTTTCCCATTACTCTACAATAATGTTTCTTGGAATTATAGATTGTAGCTTCTTTAGCTGTTCAGCAATTGATGGTTACTCACTTTGTGCCTTGTCCTTTGTTGGCACAGTAAGTTCTCGTATAAATATTTTGGTAGCTGACTGTAATCTCTCCAGAGTATTACAATCACAGCTGGGCAAAGTGATTTTCTATGTTAGATCATTTGGTAATTATATTCAACTGAATTTGATGTCATTTGATTAGCAAGAAGTTATTGTTTAAATCTGTCTTGTCAAAACAATAGGATTTGTTTTAAATCTGTAACATTGCTTTTATTATTATTAAGCTTCAAAGTTTTTTTTTCATTTTGATTTTGGGAAATTCTTTGATAACCAAGGTTGTTAATTTTTTAAGTGATACCTAGAGAGTGATACAATTACATTCTTAGAAAATTAACTTCTCTTGATCTGGATACTGTAAAATGGATGAATTAAACTCTTAGAGAATGTGGTTATTGGATATATTTGGCTGTAAAAAGAATAATGAGAATAAGTTATTGTTTGGGAAAAATAGAACGGACTTATAAATTCTGCTTGTCTGGGAAGTTCTTTGGGGACCAACCAAGTGCTTTGGGAACTTCTCTTTGGGCAAGGTGATAAAATCTTAGCAGCCCTGGGAAAGAAGTTGCTTAAAGAAGAGATTGTCTAATTCTACAGGAATGAAGTGTGTAACTGAATAATTAAGACCTCTAAGTGCCAAACTCAGGTTGAGGGATGGGAAACTTACAAGCTTCTTTATCATATACAAGTTTTATGAAAATGTATTTGGCCACTGGTCATGAAACTGATGAAATTCCATCTAGAGCCATATGTTTGGCAGTTATAGCTTTGACCCAGCTCAGGCTTCACAGATTCCAGGTGTAAGACTACAAAGGGGGAAAGCTCCCTTTTAATGATAGAGAGCTTCCAACCATTGCTAATGAAAAGACCAGGGTAGCAGAGAAACTTTGAAGTTCAAAGACGAGAGTAAAGGGAAAGATAAAAAAGAGAAATATAAATAAATCATTAAAGACAAAAACAAGGATTAACTGCTTACATTCTAATATGGGGAAATGATACCTATTCCCTCTGAAACCTGTCATCAGGGGTGATAAAAATAATTAGAAGGTCTGGGAATGGGTCCATTATGTCTTCAAGATCTGAAAAGAATAGAAAGGAAAGGACACAATGGAAAGTGAAGGTTAGGGAAAGTTAACCCTAACTCCTGCTGTGGAGTCATAGTTGTTCATTGGACTGCTCAGTTTCACTATAGTATAAACACTTCTGCTTTTGCTCACTTTTTTCTACATCGCTTCAGACAACCCTCTCCAGGTTCTCTCACACTGTGCCTTTCATCATTTCTTATGGCCCCATAACTTACTCCATTTGATGTTCTACTAGCTGTACTTTATTATTTCATTATTATTATTTTGCTTTTTGGTGAGGCAATCAGGGTTGACTTGCCCAGGGTCACACAGCTAGTGTCAAGTATCTGAGGCTGAATTTGAACTAAGGTCCTCCTGACTCCAAGGCTGGAGCTCCACCCACTGTGCCACCTATCTATGTCTAACAAGGTAAAGGAAATAGATTGTCCTGTGACAGTGACTGGGGAGGGGGAGCAGGCAGTGGGAAAGGAGGGGTTGAAGGTCCTCTTATTTCATAGTCATTGCTGGCAAAATTCTTGCCATAGTTCTCCTTAATAGGCTAATCCTTCACCTGGAACATGGTCATCTACCTGAGAGCCAGTGTGACTTCAGAAAGGACCAAAGAACGCTGGATATGGTGCTTGCTGCCAGACAACTCCAGGAGAAACGCCAAGGGTAGAACAGAGGTGTGTACTCAACATTTGTAGATATATCTAAGGCCTTCAATACTGTCAGTCATGAGGACTTATGGAAAATTGTGTCAAAATTTGGTTGCCTCGAGAAGTTCATCAGTATCGTTCGCCAATTTCATGATGACACGCTTGAGCAGGAATGATACTCTCAAGCCTTCCCAGTAACCAATGGAGTGAAACAAGGATGTGAGCTTGCTTTTGTGCTTTTTAGCATGATGTTTTCAGTCATGTAATTGTGCACAACTAATTCAGCTCGCCACTAGAGCAAGGATCCTATACTAACTTTGAAGGGATAAGGCCAGCTTAACCTTCTATCTCGAATGTGCATTGATGAGGTGGGAGACAAGATGGAAGCAACTCCATTTATTTTTAGCAAAGAACTTACTTATATAGTAAAATAACAGGAACTCTTTCTCAAGGTTCAATGACTATAGCCCAGGCTGTGCTCAAGGACAGTGCATGCAGGTCCTGTGCACTTATCTGACTCCAATCCCAGAATAGACTGCTAATGACCATACAATAACTAGGGGAGTTAAAGACTGTTAAAGATCCATACAATGGAGCACTGAACCAGGCCACCTTTGCTTAAAGATCAGCACCTGAGAGGGACCTTCGCCCAGTCAGTGAGACCTCATGAACAGCCTGTGGCCCTCTACATCCTTACAGATCCCCAACCACTCCCCCTATTTGTTTTTGACGGAGACAGAGCATATGAAGCTCAGTCCCAAAGTCCTTTATCTGATTAGCTATACACCTGAGCAAACACAGTCCAAAACACAGCATGGCCAGCAATAGCAAACATAGTGGCAACAAACAAGACAGTAGAGACATAAGCCAATGTCCAAGGTTATCAAAAGGGTTATGGAGTTTATCTAGCCAATCAGGTATATGTTGGGCAGTTTTATCTGGCATCAAATCCTTGTCAGCCGCCCTTGCAATATCTTTAGCAATTTTGCATAAGTCATCAATATCCACTGCAATAGTAGAATTCCCAAACAGCCCATTTAGATGTCTATGTATTCTTTGCCAATCCCTTTGGGATTTATTGTATTTAACATTGGTAAGGCAAATGAATTCATACCTATAATCACATTTCAAACGTGTTCTATATTCTAAAATATCCAATTCATCACCTATTTCGATAATGTTTTCCTGCATTCCGTCAAGTATATAATAAAATTCATCATCTATCCTTTTTTGTGTTTCAAAACCTTTAGATACATTGTGAGCTAATTGATTCATAAAATCAGCTTGAATCATTTCATTTCTTGCGATAGATATAGATTGAGATAAAGATACATAAGCAGTTATGATAGCTATAAGTGAAACAATTCCTAATACTACACATGAAATACATCTCTTTTTCCTAGCAACTGCTAATTGATTACTTTGGTCTATTATTCCAAAAATATGATCAGAATGTGACTCATACCAATCTTTGCTTCTCACAGGCACCAAGGCAAACTTTTATTGTGTAATAACAAAATAATTTGGTCTCTAATCTTGGTTCCTATACATTCAGACATCCTGCAGTTAATACAAGTGACATTATATTCCCCTGAATGCACGGCCATTATATTAACATTCTGTGCTCTTTTCCACATAAATGCATGATTACCAGTCAAACAAGCTCGCATTGTCATATTATCATGGAAGGTCCTTTGCAAATTCGTTTATGGGACCTAAGGCTGCCCACGCCTTCCACTGATTTTCAACCCCTCTGTCTGAAGGGAGGAAATGGAAACCCACCAAAAGCCCAAGTATGGTTGTTTTTCTCCCTAGTATAATTGTGCCAGGATTGTAAGGTAAAATTCTTTTGTAACACAACACAATGATGTTCTGAAGTATGATAGGGTAACCAAGGAGGATACCCTAAGCTCTTGCTAATCGGTGTCACATGATAGCATGGCTTTGAATTACTTGGACGTCTGACAGGTATGGCATTAACACACTGTGACCCCAAGATGCCCGTGTAAGTAACCTTATAAAATTGAGAAAAGACATACCCATCAAAACAGGTGGTGACATTAAATAACTGTAAACACGTGGAGTCTTTGGTGTCATTGCCCTTTGTAACACAAATAGGCAGCACCAAAGCCACACCAGTAAAGTTCATTTTTACAGTGTGTTGAGACCGGTTCTTAGGTGATATGAAATGAAATTCCTTGCCAAAACCTGTGGAGGCATTTCCTTGCAGAATGACCTCAGGTATTGTCTCTCCCCATGTAACTAGTCTGGGCCATGGTGGTTTTGTCACAAAGGCCCATCGTGTTGTATTTCCTGTCTCTGCTGCTGCTGTATTCTGTATCCCTGCTGACGATAACGACAAGAGGCACAGCTTGGTTAAAAGTTCTTGTAGTGCCTTCTTATTCTTTCGGCTCCTTCAATTTCCTGGCCGGCCTGTGTTTTCTCTTCTGCTTGCCTTGTCCCTTCTGAATGGATAATGCAGACATCCTTTGTTCTGACCCAAAGTTCTCCATCACCTGTGAAAATAAGAACAAACCCTTGCCCCCAGGTTAGCACTTGCCCTGGACCCTGCCAGACACCGTCAACATCTCTCCACATAACTTTCATATTATGTTTAGGAGAAAGGAATCTGTTTGATTTAGTGGTGTCACTAGTACTGTTGTCATTTCCTGCCAGATATTTCATTGCAGGAGAGAGGTTACAACTATCGAATTTTAAATAATTTATAGTGTAGAGTGCAGTGTTCAATTGATGCCAAGGGGATCCCTTAGCTCCCCCTTTTTGTTTTTGGAGCACCATTTTCAAGGTACGATTGGCACGTTCAACTATGGCCTGACCACGAGGATTATAGGGAAGGCCAGTAGTGTGACTAATAGAGAACTCAGTACAAAACTTTTAAAAACCTTTAGAAATATATGCAGGACCATTATCAGTCTTTAAGCATTGGGGTGGGCCAGCGAAGGAAAAACAATGAAGCAAGTGATTAACAACATTGCCAACAGCCTCACCCACTTGAGCAGTAGCAAAAATAAAGCCTGAATAAGTATCAATAGAAACATGAACATATTTTTGTCTTCCAAAAGGAGAATAATGAGTAACATCCATTTGCCATAAGGTGTTAGGTGTAAGTCCCTTGGGGTTATGGACATCAACATGGAAAGGGGGTTGAAAAGGCACACAATAGCACAGTGCTTAACAATTTCACATGCTTGTGATTTTGTTATGCCATATAAAGTTCTTAAAGACCTAGCAGATAAATGTAACTTATTATGACTATTCCTTGCTATTTCCACATTCATTGTTAAAGACCTATCAACAATATCATTACCTTCAAAAATTGGTCCTCAGGCAAGAGTGTGGGAACGAACATGCAAAACATAAAATAATTTCTGTCCTATTCTGTATCATAAGTTGTATATCATTAAGCAGCTGACATATATTGTCACCAGTATGTTTTATTACAGCAGTCTCTAAATGTTTTAGAATTCCTTCAACATATTTACTATCTCAGATAATATTCATTGGCTCCTCATATTTTTGAAATGCACAATAGACAGCATATAATTCATTCTGTTGTGTGGATATAAAGGGTGTTTCAATCACATGTAACTCCTTTCTTTTAGGGCACCAGATAGGGGCCTTATTCATCTTAGTGTCATCAGTAAAGACATTAATCCCATGTACGGGTTCACCTGCTGTGAGTGTGGGTTGTATCCAAGGCCAATTCTCAAAGATTGCACGATATGTAAAAGGTTTTCCAAAAACAAGTGTCAAATTTACATGTATTTGCCAATTAGGCAACTTTTGTATTGCCTTTTCTATAGCTTGTTGAGGAAATGGAAGGTATATGACTTCCGGATGTGTGCCACACAACATTAATTACTTAAAGTATTTTTGGCTGAGATGGTAAATATACTCATTCTAAAAAGCCTGTGTTTCAGATGTATCACTGCTGTTGGAGAATTTGGAGTGTTAAATATAGAAGCCTCCACACTTTCGTGCATGTCAATCCTGTTTGTGTGTGCTTCAACTACTTGTTCCTGAATACAGCAATGTGTGTTTCGCCTCAGGGATCTAATTGAGGATCACCTCTAAGGCAATCACATAAAGGTAAAATCATTAAGTGTTTTCAACTTTCATGGGTCTGTTTTTGGAGGATGTGGAACTATTTTTTCTTGAAGTATCTGGTGACCTAAATATTGATATGGAGGAAGTTTTTGAATTTTTTCTGGGGCTGTTTGAAGCTCATGACTTTGCAACAAATTTTGTATTTTTAACAAGATTTCTTCCAACACTTCAGGATTGGATGAGCACATAAAATGTCATCCATGTAATGTATCATTTTTAGCTTTTTGTAATGGAATAGTAAAAAGGCAATCTTTTAAATCAATAACTATCAAAGGCTAGGAAGTCATAAAGCATCGTTAATTTTCCTGACTTCTTTGCAATAATAAAAACAGGTGAATTTTAAGGAACCCAAACAAGTTCATGGATTTCACTTTGTATTTTGTCAGTTTTATGGATAGAAAAAGCACAAACAGTGGGCGGGAGAAAATAACAGCTCTCAGTAAATGTAAAATATAGCGCCCACAAATTAGGGTGAAATGAATTGAGTTTTAGCTATCTGTTATCCTTAGTGGTTTAACTTTATCTTAAAATAATTGATTAGTGGTGATTTATTAGGCAAGCTAAAAGTAATTATATCCTTAAAAGTCATGTGAAAATTATTAAAAATTATCAAGGAATCTTGATTAATTTGTAACATTTTGGTGGTATACCTGCAGACTGCAGAACAATACACCCAAAGTAAGCAAAGGGTGACACCCTCTGTACCCTTTCAGGGGTAATTATAAATCTATGAGACTGAAAGGCTTGTTGACTGAAAATCTTGGTAAAACTTGGGCTTTAATAGGGAAATTTGGTGGTAGTAGGACAACTGCAAAGTTTATCATCCATACAATGAATTATTTTTGTCTGGGAACATTTCTGACTAACAAGTTTAATAGTGTGATGAACAAAATTTCGGCACATGGTAAGAAACATTCCTCCTTAAAGGATCATAATAGGGAAAATGGGAAATACTGATTTAATGAGACAACCATATCCAAATTCAAAGTCAAAACAAAGTTAATTATAGTTCTAAGAGTCTTTAACCTCAAGCAGTAAGTTTCAGTGATTATGGCTTAAAGCCAGATACAGTTAATTATTTTCATAGAAGTGCAATAATCAATAAAGATTTACTAGGACTCACATATATAAGAAATTTTACTTAACATCCTTTCCCACATTTAAACTTGTCTTGGTGAAAAAGCCAATTATTAGCAATCATTTATATAAAGTTGCAATTTCTCAGTAAGCTAAATGAATTGTTTAGGAACTCAATAACATAAACAAATTCTTAGAGCAGATGACCTTGACACAGTTGGTAGGAGCTTTTGGCAAGCTTACAAAGTTAAGGGAATTGCCTTGTGTCCCTCCTTTTCACTCAGAAATAATTAAGAATTCTAGGTCTTAGCTTTAAAACACTAACTTCAAATAACTTAGTTAACAATTTTGGTAATTGTTATCTGACTACCTTTCAGTTTCTTATACTTCACGTTTTAATAACATCAAAATTGTTAAAAATTGCTTGACATAACACATAAAAGTGTACCAATTTGTAATGAGACTAGATTTTTAAAACTTGAAACATACATATTACTAATGTGAATGAAATAAATTATCTTTAGATTGTGTTCCAATACTTAAAAACTTTTCTTTTTGATTTGAAGAGGAAAACTCCTTCTCCTTCTTTTCTCCCTCACCCCAACCTGGCCAGGGTTGGAATTCGAGAGAAAGGAAGAGAATATTTTAAACATAATCTTTCAATCTTACACCCAAAGCTTTGGCCAGAGCTTTAGAATGCAAAAAAGAAAGAGATTTTTTTCTCCAAAAGTTTCCAAATCTTTTATTCTCAAATCATCTATTCCTGCTATTCATGTAAACAGATTATACTAGTCTTTCTATCCATACTTTTCTTATTCCTGTATGCTTAAACTTTCTCGCCTTTTATCAAATTATATAACCTAAATAATGAAGTACTTTTTCTCCCATTCTCTCCCCCATCCACCTGCTCCCAGGAAATGCGGCTGGTATTAGGGAGGGGGAAGGGGAGAAAGTCACTAACAGCATTTCAAAATCCAGTTGCAGCCCTTGGCTGCCTTGCAGTAAAAGATTAAACAAATCACAGACATTAATCACAGACCATCACTCACACAGACACAGACAAACATAGAACAAAATGACAGGGAAAATCCAAAAGTGAGAAACTTGTCAGAAATTCCCTACACAAATGAAATAATACTATTTTTATTTTAATTTATCTTTTCTTTTCATGGTATTCTAAAACCAGGCAAAATGTTTCTTAAGGTTTTGGTTTTCATAAAAGGAAACTTTTTCACTTTGTAATGCTCCACAATGTCCACAATATAGTGCTGTGACTACACTTTTCTTTTCTACTTCCCCTTGGGGATTTTTGAAATTTCTCATGGCACATGGCAGGAGCTTCCTTTGTTCTCACAGCTCCTACAAGCCCATTTTTATAAGATTATAGATAGTGAAAGTATCCAGAGGAACTGATTTTGGGCGTTTGGTGTTATAAAATTCTGTTAATTGTTCTCCCACTATTTTCCATTGTTCTAAATCTAAACTCCCTTCTCTGGGGTTCCATGGAGATGTTATATCAATAATATCTAGAAACTCTCTTATTTTCTTAGGAGTTACCTAGCACCCCTATTCCTCAATCACTTTATATATTACTCTAACATTCTGTTGCATATCTGAGAGAGATTTTGCCTCATGTTAAGACTGTATCTTACCTCTCCATAGTTTTGTGCCACGGGATACGATTTGGAGACCTCTCACAAGGAGGCTGCCTAGCTTCCCAAAGACCTTGGTGTCCTGACCGTGGGGTGATTTCTCCCTTCTCTCCAGCCCAGCCCTTCACTTTTCAGGCTAAAAGGGGTCCCACGTTGTGAATTGTGGGTTTCTCAGCTTCCTCCACTGCCTGCCCTTCAGTCTTCAGACTACAAAAGGGAGCCCCACGTTGGGTGCCACTTTGTTCTGCACAAGTAATTCAGCTTGCCACTAGAGCAAGGATCCTATACTAACTTTGAAGGGATAAAGCCAGCTTAACCTTCTATCTCGAATGCGGATTGATGAGGCAGGAGACAAAATGGAAGCAACTCTGTTTATTTTTAGCAAAGCACTTACTTATACAGTAAAATAACAGGAACTCTTTCTCAAGTTACAATGAGGTATAGCCCATGCTGTTCTCAGGGACAGTGTGCAAGTCCTGTGCACTTATCTGACTCCAATCCCGGAATAGACTGCTAATGACCATACAATAACTAGGAGAGTTAAAGATTGTTAAAGATCCATACAATGGAGTACCGAACCAGGCAACCTTTGCTCAAAGATCAGCACCTGAGAGGGGCCTTCGTCTAGTCAGTGAGACCTCATGAACAGCCTGTGGCCCTCTACATCCTTACAGATCCGCAACATGTCATCAAACAGCTTCAATGAGGATGAACATGGCATTAAGATCAGTTACCTCACTGATGGTAAATTCTTCAACTTGAAGACACTACAAGCCAAGACTAAGGTGGGGGCAGTGTTGGGGCATGATTTTCTGTTTGCATATGATTGCGTGCTCCATGCAGCCTCTGAGGCTGAGAAGTAACAAAGCACGGATCAATAATCTCCTGCTTGTGCTAATTTTGGCCTAACAATTCACACCAAGAAAACACAGGTGCTCCATCAGCCAGCACCATACCATCCACATGTGGAACCATCGTTTACAGCAAAAGGAGAAGTTTTGAATGGTGGGGATAAGTTCATTTACCTTGATAGTGTACTTTCCAAGGATGCACACATTGATAGTGAGGTTGACCCACACATTGCCAGAGCCAGCTTCATGTTTGGGAGGCTCTGAAGGAAAGTGTGGGAGAGAAGAGGTATTAGACTGACTACCAAACTGAATGTCTACAGAGCTGTTGTGTTGACCTCATTGTTGTATGTCTGTGAAAGCTGGATAATATACCAGTACCATGCCAGGAAACTGAATCACTTCCATTTAATTGTCTCAGGAAGATTTTGAAGATCACCTGGCAGGATAAGATACCAGACACTGAGGTCCTTTCTCAAACTAAAGTTCCAAGCATTCAAACTCTGCTTTAGAGAGTTTAACTCTGATGGGCTGGCCATGTTGTTTGAATGCCCCAATGTAAGCCAAAAACACTATTTTATGGATAACTCACCAGAGCAAATGTTCACATGGTGGTCAGAAGAAGAGATACAAGGACACTCTCAAGGTCTCTCTTAAGAACTTTGGAATTGATTGTATGACATGTGAGACCCTGGCACAGGACCACTTAGCAAGGTGTGCCCACATCAGAAAAGGTGCTGTGCTCTAGGAGCAAAGCAGAATTGAAGTAGCTCAAGAGAAACACAAGATCTGCTGACTTAGAGAATCCACCCCAAAGGTTCACAAGGAGTATTTGTGTCCAACCTGTGGTAGAATATTCCGAGCTTATATTGGTCTGATTAGCCACAGGCGCACACACTCAAACTTGACTCTGGGGTAGTGATGTTATTTTGGTCCACTTTCAAAAGGAAGGAAAACAGGATGGCTCCATAATCTTCCATTATATTCTTAGACCATCATTTCTTCAGTCATTTCCCAATGTACAGGAACCATCTGTTTCCAGATCTTTGCAGCAACAACAAACGTCCACTGTAATTTCACATTGTGTATATGGGTCATTTAACTCTTTAGTGTATAGGTCTAGTGGTTATCATGGAGTCAAAGGGCATGTGGTGGAGGGAGTTTAGGGACCAAGTTCCAAAGGTATTACAGAATGTTATCCTTCCATTTGAAGGCTGTGTGAATCTTTGTGTGAAGGGTGTTTGTTTTACACAACATGGTGAATTCTGCTTTCTAATGTATTCTGCTACTCTCCTCTATTTTTACAGTTGAGTTCATTCCATAATTACATTTTCTCCATGATATCTCTGACCTTTTCTCTTTGCTTCTGCCTCAATCCTTAGAAACATAAACTAGGTGGGGGAAGAGAATGGAATCAACCCTAGTGATTAATCATTGGAGTGGCCTGATCTCCATTCCTCAGCCCACCTATTCTTCCATCCATCCCATTCCCCGATGACTCACTGGAACACTATCTTAAAAGTCTCTTATCTTCTTCTGTCCTCTATTTGAAGCATCCACTCTGGTGCAAAGTTGTTTTCCACCATAAGGCAGCCAGGTGGCACAATGGACAGAAGACTATGAGTGGAGTCAGGAAGAGCAGAGTTCAAATCCAGCCTCAGACACTTTTCCCTGGGTGATACTGGGTAAGTTGCCATTCTTCTATTTGCCTCAGTCTCCTTATCTGTAAAGTGAGGATAATAATAGAACCCTTTGCCAGGGTTCTGAGGATCAAATAAGATAATATTTGTAAATTACTTGGAACATAGTAGGCACTCTATGAATATCAGGTATTATTACTATAAATTTTACTATTTCTGTACTAATTCTACTCTTCTTATACTGCTATTCTTTTCTCTCCTTACATTCATTTATTTCCTTCTGCAGTTTAATGTTGTCATTGTTGTTGTTTGTCCTTTGTTCTCCCACAGGACCTTGACTTCAGGAAGCTGAGGCCATGACTTGTAAGTGAATTGGATTTAAGTGAGGCAGGGCAGTGAAAAGCCACCAGCCTCACTCTCTCCCCTGTAGCCATCTGAGTGGGAAGATACAGATCAAGATGACTGGAGATGACTCAGGATGCAGTGGGGGACCTTGGCCTTTTTATGCTAAGGTCTTCAACATGTCGCAGTGTGACTGAGGCAATGCTGATTCAGTGATTAAGGCAAATAAGAAATGAGGCAGAGAATGGCCTTTTTATCTAGTAAAAAAAAATCACTGTGGCAGCTAGGTGGCACCACAATAGAGATCTGGCCTTGGAGTCAGGAGGACTTGAGTTCAAATTTGGACTTAGACAGTTGACACTAGCTGTATGACCCTGGGCAAGTCACTTAACCCCAATTGCCTCATCAAAAAGCAAAAAAAAATCAATCTGGGAGGGGAAGACCCTCAGGGTTTTTGGCCAAAACAGAAACAATTGCTGCTTACATTCACTGTGAGCCTCAGGGTCCAAAGAGTGGCCAATCAAGGCTTGGCCTGAGACCTATCATTGGCAAAGGAGGGAGAGTCAGATGGATTTGGGGTTAAGTTGGTCCTTAAGGAAAAAAGTTTCAGAGATCAAGTGGCTGAATATACAAAGAAAGGCAAAAAGACAAAAAAAAAAGCAAAAAAACACCCAGACCTTCCCCCCCTACCAGGCCAGCAAACCAAACCAGTCCCCACCCTTAGGGAGCTCACAGTTTAATGAGAGACAACCTGCTAACCACCTGGGCTCTTCCTACAGTTGTGCAAATTTTAACTTTCTTCTTATTTCTCTTAAAACTATTGGTTAATATTAACCTCACCTGACTGCAACCTGCCTCATAGGATGTGAAAATTTATACACTCCTTAGATGAGAAGCCAGAGGAGAATCTTACCTGTCCCTCCCTGAGGTTTAGAGTTGGGAGGGGTGGTTTAGGTGTGAGAGAATTCACTTACACCTTCTTTGTAACCATTGGGAGCTTTATTGACACCAAAGAAGTAGGCTGGCCCTGGAAGGAGGACTAGCAACTTGCAGAGGGTCTAGGGCCTGTTTTTATGCACAATTTTTGGGCACTTAGCCAAGAGTTCCTAGTGAGTGGTTAATGGCAGGGAAAAGAGTGTCAGGAAGGTGAAGCAAATGTGCTGGGTCCAATTTAAGGATGAGATCTAACCACATACAAAGAGGGTGGGCTAAGGAAGCAAGGATTTTGTTATCTGACAGAGCTTCCCAGTTACTGGGCAGATTTAGATGAGGCCCTCATAGCTGCTGGAAAAAGTTAGCCTTGTGTGGGACAGCGACCCTAACACAAATTAAACTCAGAGACTTCTCAAGATGGAAGGCAAAAGTTACCTTTATTACAATCTCTTGAGACCACTGTCTGCTCCTCACATAGGAGGACACAAAAGGAGAGGGAGTATAAACCCTAATGCAAACAAGTCCCCACCCACCACTATCCCTTAATCCCCTTAACTGGGAGGCTGGCCCACACTCCAGGTGAGAAATTCAAAGACAAGGAATCAGGGCATAGCCACTCCAAGCACATGTACTCCCCTTCAATAACCTGATGCTGAGGTATCAGGAGGGGATTTAGGGCCAAATTCCCAAGAGCTAGGCAATTCCTAGGAAACCAAAATCCTCCCAACCCCCCCTTTTTCCCCTATCCCAGGGACGAGAAAAGAGGCTGGAAGCCAAGGGCAAACAGCTCAGGTTGGGGGGCAGGGCTTATTCTTTCTGTTATGTGCTTAAAAACAGGGTCTGAGGGGGGGAGGATTTTGAAAGTAATAATCAAGAATTATTGACCTTTGAGGAGGCCTCACTTCTGAGAGTTCATCTCTCACAATTCCCCCTTCTCATTTCTTACAATTTGAAGCCTCCTCACAAACATTACACCTTACAGATATAGAGTGTTAACCTGAAAATGTGGTTAAAGAAGGCAAACAAGTTAGGTGATACATGATTATACAGTTTATTCGCTTTCAGTTAGCAAATCATGTTAACATGGAAGCCAGAATGTGATTCTGACTCGGAGATTAAGCAAAATGAGAGGGGTTTTATACAGTTTAGAATGATCAGACTCAGGATGTCTGTGTTACAAAAAAAAAAAAAGGTATAGCCTCCATATGTTTCCTAACACACAACATAAAAAAAGGAAGTTACCCAATTGCATACATTGTAAATACAATAGAAGAATGTCAAAGTATCAATCAACATTATAGATCCAGGATATGTGTTTCCTCTACATAACATATGTCTATAGGATACAAAACAAGGAAAAGTCTCATTAATCAAGAGAGTGTTTGGTCCCAGACATCCTGGGCTCAGTGCTGACAAACAGGAAGAATGTTGGTGAGCTCCACCTGGTCCTGAAATTTGCTGACACAGGAAGGGGTGTTTTTAGTTCACTCAGAGAGAAAAAGATTAATTCAGGTTTTTGGCCCTTATTGGGGCTCAATTGATCTCAAATGATTATCAAGAGGTCCAAAAGTATTGATAAATTGCCCATTTAAAGCTTCAGAAGTCTCTTCTCATACCACTGTCTGACACTGTGCATCATCTGGTGAAGTGTTCTTATCTAACTGCTGTTCAAACAGTGTCCAGCAGACTCTCACTCTCCTCCTGCAGAGATCCTCCTTCTTGTATCCACTGTCCTACAAGATTGATCTCAACACAATTTTAAATAACCTTCCCAATAACCAGGGCAAATAATGAAAATTAACTCAAACCCTATGTCTTCACCATTACTAGATCAAAATTGGAACTTTGTCCACTTGTCATGTTTCAGGATGCTCAAATTAAAAAAAAAAATTAGAACCTAGTCTTACGCTCTGCATTACTTCTAGTTTTATACCTTGCATTAATTCATTATTCATTCCTATTCATATACCCCATCAGGAGGATGAGATTCCACTAAGGAATTAATAACACACTCCAATACATAGTACATAATTTAAAACCAGCACACATCAAATACCAAAACAATCCCAACTTCTAGTCATGTACAAATAAATAATCCTTAATTAAAATAAATGCTTCCTTTAAGGTATTTACAAGAAAAGCCATAAGCTATTCCTCTTTTAACATTAATTGCAACAAACTGAGACACATAAGTATTAACTAAGTACCAGAATAATATCCTCCTTCCACAATCTCCTGGACTAATTATCCCTTAACAATGGGGGTAAGGGTCCAAGTAGACCCCTCCCCCTTGTCCCAAAAAGAATGTGGCTCCCATCTGTCTAAAGGTCCCAGCTCCTAATTAATCATCCTTTGAAAACCCCAGCCCCACCCCTTTTGATCCTATTCGGATGCCTTTCAAACTTCCTCCCCCCAGGTCCCCCCATTATCCACTCCCCATTGTCTATTCAGCTCTTTGACACTCCAGTAGGAACTCTCCCCAAGAGCCCCCCTCCCAGCCCCTCCTCTTCTTCTCAAAGTTACTTTAGTTCATGTAAGATTCAGAGACTTTCTCATGCCCACTCCTCCCCACGGGCATTACCTGGTCCATATGGTCTATCTCCAACAAACTTCCCTCCCCCAGCTGAAAGATCTGGGCTGAACTCCTTCAGAGGGGATCCTTCTGCTGTGACCTTGGAGTCCCAGTACCCCAAAACCTCCAGACCTCATCATAACCATTATGAGAAATTAAAGGATCCTAACTTATACAGGAAGATACTTAATTCTGAATTTGCCATGAAAGAACATAACTAAAATAAGAGAACAATGCTTTCCTAGATTCATGTGAACTCCAGGCAGAAGTTATATAATAACCAACTGCATTGAGCCAGGTTTAAAATCTGCCAGGTGTCATAGTGGGGAAATTGAGTCAGGAGAATCCTACCTCAACCATGCAGAAAAGTCATTCTCCCAGACCTTCCCATGAGAACACCTTTTTGCAGCTCATAGGTGCAGCTCACAAATCTCTTTGCAGGTTGCTGACGTCATGGGTCAGTAGGCTCAATCAGTTCTTTGTTAACTATACCTGGAATTAGACTCAAAATAATAGTTCATTAACAGATTCCAAGGTCTTAGATAGTAAATTCCCCTCATCAGAGTTTCAGGTGTGACTATAATTTCACATTAATTAAGGAACATCTCCAAAGTGAGCTCTAAGTAGCTTGCATAACTTCCCACACATGTTATAGTTCCTAATAACATCCTAAGTAAAATCAAATTTCCATTAAGATCATAAGTTGCTACTCTAAATAGACTTGCCTTTCTGTTTCTCAAGCCTATCTATCCCTCTCTAACTTTAGAATTTCTATGGGCTGTGCTTTTTTTTTTTGACTAGCCCCTCAGGGGCAGTCCTTAGACTGCTCTTTTTCAACACACAGAGTAATCAGTTACCAGTTTTAAGTTTTAGCATTAAAACAACAACCAACAATCTCACAATTTTCATAAGTGATAACTAAATTGTTTTAGCTGTAACATAAACAGTAAATTTCAGATGGCAACAACTGTGTTTCTAGATCATGTAAAATTATTATTATTATTATTATTTTTGGGTTTTTTGGCAATTGGGGTTAAGTGACTTGCCCAGGGTCACACAGCTAGTAAGTGTCAAGTGTTTGGTCTGAGGCTGGATTTGAACTCAGGTCCTCCTGACTTCAGGGCCGGTGCTCTATCCACTGCACCACATAGCTGCCCCCATGTAAAATT